CTTCTTGAGATAAGGATCATTCATGTTTTCCTACTCTAGTGTTTGTGAGAGTGCATCTACCACTTGGTTTTTGTTGCTGGGTTTGAAGCAAATCTTAAAATTAAATGAGATAATCTTAGTCAGTCATTTTTGATAGTCGAACAATATCTACTGTTGTTCCAATAGATATTTTAATCTTCGTTGATTGATAAAAATCTAGAACTGACACCTTAGCAAGTAACAACACAATTTAAGAATGGCCTAGATGATCTCTATTCATTCGCACTTGTAGATGGGTTTTTGCTAGTGTGTCAGCATGAGTGTTTGGCTGAAGAAAGTCATCAGCTTTTGATGTTATATGAGCAGAACTCTCACTCCACGATTGGAGGCATATGCCTTGAAATTGAAGGTGGTGGAAAAATCCAGCAATGTCGGTGCTGGAACTATTGTCAAGACCTACTTGAGTAGTTGAAATGCTTCCTTTACTATGAGGTTTCAGCCAAGTACATCATTCTTCAACTATTATGTTAGAGGTCAAGTGATCCTCCCAAATTTGTGGTCGAAGTGCTTGTAATTACCTGCTAAGCCCATGAATCCCTAGAGGTCATGGAGATTTGCCAACAACAGCCATGATCAAACTGTAGTGATCTTCTTTGAGTCCATGGCAACAACTTCCTTTGAAATCTAGTGGCCGAGGTAGGCAATCCTCCTCTATTTGGACATGCATTTCTTTAGACAAGAAATACTTGAAGGCGATGTATTTCATGGTCCTCGTGGATCCGGCTATATACAAGAATACCGTCGAAGAAAACTAACATGAACCTTTGCAGGTATTATGAGAAGATTCAATTCATATTGGCTTGGAAGGTTCTTGGTGCATTGGTCAAGCTGAAGAGTATTACAAGGAACTCATAATGTCCATGATGTGTTTGAAACACCATCTTGGGCACATCTTCTGCATGTACTTGAATCAGTGGTAGCTCGAGCGAAGATCTAGCTTTGAGAAAACATTTGCACCATGTAGCTTGTCAATGAGTTTGTCTACAACTAGAATGGGAAAATGATCCAAGAAAGTCAACTTGTTCGATGTGTGGTAGTCCATGCAAAAATGCCACAAGCCATCTTTCTTTCATATGAGGAGTGTTGGGTTGAAGAATGGGCTATGAGAGTGTTGAATGAGCCTAGTTGTGGGCATCTTAGCAACCTACTTCTCTAACTTGGTCTTTTGACAGTGAGGGTAGCAAAATGGTTGGGGTGTGGACTTTTTGGCTCCCTGGAGGGCAATGCTGTGCTCCTAGTCATAGAGTGAGGGAAGACCAGTGATGTCTGTGAAGACTTATAGAAATCATTGCTAGAGCTTTGCTGCCAATCATTAAGGGGCTACCACTAGCTTAATAAAATTGAGTTGAAATAACTCGAAGTAGGCTTTGCCCCTACAAGATTGACCGACCAAGATATCAGGGTGTAGTTGCAAGCCAATTTTCAATGATTTCACCATGAGGGTCACTTTCTCTTCTCTAGTGAGAAACAACATGGTGTAGTCATTCAATTCCAACTTGAGCCTGTGGTGTCCCTTCACCTAGTGCATGACAAGAATTATGTCGACAGAGGCTAGGGAGAATAGGAGGAAATTGTCGAAGATGATGGTTTCCAGAAGGTCAATGATGAGGCTTTGACACATCTCAAAGTTGAAGACTATCTCGCTAGTCTTGATGGTCACCTAGTATTGAGTCGTCCTAGTTAGTGGCAACTGCAGCTCCTTGACTAGGTGACTATTGATGAAGTTGAATTTAATTCCAATGTCAAGTAGGACGGAGATCGATTGGTATTGAATAGTCCCTTTGAAATGCATGGGATGCCCATTTGACTCACTAGAGATTGACAATAGAGATACTTTGAGTTGGACTATTGAATTAACATCGGGGGAAGTTTTGAGTTGAAGCTGACCCTCACAGTTGTCTTCCTACAAATAATCAGAGTCAGCTAGTGTAAACAAGATGTTAAGCTCCCTCTTGCATTGATGGCACAATGTGAACATCTTGTCACAATGGAAATAGAGACCTTGCGCTTGTTGGGCTTGAATTTCCATGGCAATAAGATGTAAATGACGCCAACAATTTACCAGGGGGACGGTTGAGTATTGATGCTAGAGTGCGTGCATTTGCCACGTCGGAAGGGTTTCCCATGTCCCTACTTAGCATGCCAAGTGGAGGAGCATGTGAAGGCCACCCTTCATAAGCTGAGGGGCCTTTCTTTGGGCCCCTGCTGGCCGGTAGCCGACCCCCATCTGCCAACGTATACAATTTGGTTTCAACCCACTATGCTGTCTGCATAGTCGCCTACAAGTGATGAGGGTTGAGGCGTATACTTCGGCTTGAATCTCCTATCGAAGGCCCTCGAGGAAGTTGCCTTACAAAATGACGTCCGAAATGCTGCAAAGAACTCCCAACAAGAGCTCAAACTACTCGCAGTAGTCCTATACTGTACCTGTCTACTTGAGTTCGAGGAACTACTAGTATAGAGAACTAGAGTGTTTGTAGCTGTAATGCTCAAATAGTTAATATTTCATATCCTCCTAGTTGCGGAAGGTTGGCGAGTCTTGACCCACTAGAGCCAATGGAGGGCTTTCCCTTCCATGATGAGGCATGCCTCTGTCAATTGCTCGGGCCTTGTTAGTTGGTAGGTGGAGAAATAGAGCTCCTCCTGATAGATCCAGGCTTCAGGATTGGAGCCTGAGAAGATAGGAAACTGGCGACGACTAGCCTGCCCACTGTTGAGGTGTGTGTTTGCGAAAGGATCCTCCTTGTAGCCAGGATCACTTGCTTGCAAATAGGAGCTGGCCTTTGTTGGTTTCCTCAGGGGCCCACTCTTTAGACGGCTCTATGGTCTGCTTGGACTTGCTGGCTCGGATGAGGGAAATGCCCAACTGATGCTGAATGGAATCGAGGATTTGGGCAACATACCCCAGAAGTTGAGAAATAGCCCCCAATTGTTGGCACATGTCAGCCTGATCTGCTCCAAGTGCTTGAAATTGATCTGTGTCTGTCGCTTGATTAATGTGGGTGATGTGCTGGAATTCCTCCAGCTCTTTCTCAAGGGAATTGACCTTGTCATCAGTGGGTTTGGGCCCCAAGAGCAGGGTTGAGGCTTTGATACCAATTGACGAGGATCCTTCAGCCAGACTGTGGGTAAAACCTGCTGATTCCTCAAAATATCCTTGTATATATATAGGGAATAGTTTCTAGAACAAGGGAATTCATGGACGAATTTAGAAGAAAAATAGGGAAATAGGAAACGGGATGACTCTTGAGACAAACACTGGAATACAAGGTAAGATAGGTAAAGAGGGGAACCGAGACCTCCTAGATCTTAGGATCACCAATACAAGATGGTGAATCTCCAGCTCCGAATGGAGTTCTGCACGACTTCTCTTCCTTCCACCATGGTCGCTTGACCCATCTTATAGCTTTAGTCCCCTGTGTTGACGACCACCTCCTGTCCTTCACGAACCAGTCGTTAGGTTCTGGTCTAACAATCCGATCTAATGGAACATGGTACTTGACGCGATCCGTCGGTGTCGGTTCCTGCCGCTGTACTGGTTCGCCGCCGGATCCATCCGTTACGCACACCTCCCGACGTACAGGATCCGTAGTACTGTTGTCTCCGACGGTGTCTGGATCTGTTGTCTCTTTGTCCCGCTCCACACTTGGGCTGACTTGCTCCGTTACTAGGCTGGACCGATTTCTTCGTGACCGCTACCCCCTCGCAGGCCCACTTCGGTTGTCAAGGCCTCAACGAATATATTCCGCGGAAATTGGACTTGAGCAGATCAAAAAAGTGAGACAGTGACAGGAAAAGCTGCAAGAAAACTATGGATGCAAACATAGCAGAGGCCAGAAAGAAAACGACGCTCGTACGTCAAAAAATTGCAGCAATGAAGAGGGTATACGATTCCGAACCAAGGGACGTATTTGACTTCCATGCCGTCTTCCACGCGAACCTTGACGACGGACTTACGGACTCGCTTGCTGAGCTCTCGCAGGACCTCAGCGAGGGGCCGGGTGATTCTCGACGTCGGAATGTCCTCCTCGATCACCTCCAGGGGAGAAGGGCGACCTCTGGCCGCCAAAGTCCGGGCTCCAGCAAAGGTCGATGCCTTCCTCGACGGAGGTTTAGCAATTGTCATCCTCGAGAGGATCTTTATAGCGCAAGAAGCCATGAGCAGGCCGAGCTGAGCACTTCTGGTCGAAGGCGGTGGGAATTTATGAAAAACCTCGGACACCAATGGTTACTGTCACCTTCAGTGAGCATTACCAATTTATGACCTCGAGTCCTTTCGGCATCAGCCGACTGTCCACCTGCCAGGCCGCATACCCTCTTGCTCTTCCACCTGGCAATGGGACCTTGGACCACTGGGTCTCCATAAAGCCCAGCCCCGAGAGAGAGAGAGAGAGAGAGAGAGAGAGAGAGAGAGAGAGAGAGAGAGAGGGACTGAGCTACGCCTATTTTTCTTTATTGCCTTTATTAAGAAAATCAATTCTAGAAAAAAGAAAAATCATTAAAGGACCGGGTTGAGGTTTACATTCTAAACGGGCCCATATATCTGTTTACGTAAAAATAGGTATTAAATAAAAACGCTATAATTCTTTTTAGAAAAAATATTATGGTCGTTAAGCGGGGTGCGCCTGGGCTGCATGACTCAACTGCCCGTACCCTCCCCCTCCTCAACCCTTCGTCCCCCGCGGCACCTCCCTCCCTCTCACTCTCTCAACCCTGTCGCCAGGAAGAGCTGGGAGAACCCTCTCTCTCTCTCTCTCTCAGTGTTTATCTGTGATGATCTTCAATCAGCAGGGCTTTTTGATGTGGTGTAACCCTGAAAGCTTCAAGTAACTACTTCAGCGTAAGGGAACATCGTTGATTATGAGAGCAGGAATACCCTCGTCGGCTTCTTCTTGATCCCACTGGAGTCGTTCGACGCTTCACCACTGGTCTGATACTCGTCCATGGCGGCGCCGCTGCAGATGGAGAAGAAGGCGCGGGCGAGGACCCTGCCGGGGAAGGCGGTGGCCACCCTCTGCGCGGTCAGCTTCGTCCTCGGCCTGCTGCTCAGCGGCAGGATGTGGGCGGCGCCGCCGCTCAAGGGCCGCCGTCCGGCCGAGAAGGCCTCCGCCGGAGTGCCGAGGGACGTGATGGGGGAGGTCAAGAGCACCCGTGAAGCCCTCAAGTGAGCCCTCCTCCTCCCTCCATCCTCACTCTCTCTGAATTATCCAAGAACACCAGCATCTCGCTGTGCATCAGGTCTCTGGAGAAGACGATATCCTCTCTAGAGATGGAGCTGGCCACGGCAAGGACAAACGGCGGCGGGGTGGCGGCGGGAGGGGAGCTCCAGAGGGCGTTCGCAGTCGTGGGCATCAACACCGCCTTCAGCAGCAAGAAGCGGCGGGAATCGCTCCGGCAGACCTGGGTTCCCCGGGGTTTTACCGCTCCTTTTCCTCTCCACTTTCCTTCCCCGAAGAAGAAGAAGAAGAGAGAGAGGGAGGGAGGGAAGGAGGGAGGGAGGGGGGGAGGGAGAGAGAGAGAGGTCGAAGATGGATGGAAGGAGAGGAGTGAGAGGGATAGAGAGGAATAGGAAAGAGAGACGAAGAAGGTAGATGCAAGGAGAAAGTAGACAATAATGCAGGCAAAAAAGGTGATAGTCAGAGTCAGAGAGAGAGAGAGAGAGAGAGAGGGAGAGAGAGAGAGAGGAAGAAGAAAGGGAAACGAAGAAGGTAGATGCAAGGAGAGAGTAGACGATAATGCAGGCAAAAAAGGAGGGAGTCAGAGAATCAGAGAGAGAGAGGGAGAGAGAGAGAGGTTGGAGATGGATGGTCAGAGAATAGAGAGGGAGTGATAGAGAGGAAGAAGAAAGAGAAACGAAGAAGGTAGATGCAAGGGGGGAGTAGACGATAATGCAGGCCAAAAAGGAGAGAGTCAGAGAGTCACAGAGATAGCACAGAGAGAGAGAGAGAGAGAGAGAGAGAGAGAGAGAGAGAGAGAGAGAGAGAGAGAGAGAGAGAGAGAAGAGAGAGAGAGAGAGAGCGAGAGAGAGAGAGCGAGAGGAATAAGAAGAAGAAGAGGCTGACGGGAGGAGGGTGGTGGTGCAGGGGTGAAGCTGAAAAGGCTGGAGGAGGAGAAGGGGATAGTGCTGAGGTTCGTGATAGGGCGGAGCGCGACGCCGGGGGGAGTGCTGGACCGAGCCATCGACGCCGAGGAGGTCGAGACGAAGGACTTCCTCCGTCTTGACCACGTCGAAGGCTACCACCAGCTCTCTGCCAAGACGAGGATCTACTTCTCCACCGCCGCCTCCATCTGGGACGCCGATTTCTACGTAAAGGTTGACGACGACGTCCATGTCAACCTCGGTCAGCTCTCCCTCCCTCCCTCCCTCCCTCTCTCTCTCTCTCTCTCTCTCTCTCTCATCAGGGTGGCACCGTCTTTTTCTTCAGGGACGATGGCGGCGACGCTGGCCCGCCACCGCGCGAAGCCGCGAGTGTACGTGGGCTGCATGAAGTCCGGACCGGTGCTGTCCCAGAAGTGAGTATTCATTCCCTCGAGCATCATCAAAATCGTGGCCAGGAGGGCACCGCACCGCGGGGAGCCTCGTCTGACTGGGTGAACGGCAGCAGAGGGGTGAAGTACCACGAGCCCGAGTTCTGGAAGTTCGGCGAAGAAGGGAACAACTACTTCCGTCACGCCACCGGCCAGATCTACGCCATCTCCAAGGACCTCGCTGCCTACATCTCGATCAACTCGTGCGTCCACTCCACACACTTCCCCCTCGTTTCTCTCTCTCTCTCTCTCTGTGACTCTCTCCTCTTTTGCCTGCATTATTTTCTACTCTCTCTTTGCATCTACCTTCTTCGTTTCTCTTTCCTCTTCTTCTCCATCCCTCTCTACTCTTCTCTCTCCATCCATCTTCGACCTCCCCTCTCTTCTCTCTCTCTCTTTCTCTCTGTGAATGGTCCGAGTTCCATGCAGGCCCATATTGCACAGGTACGCCAACGAGGACGTGTCCCTCGGATCCTGGCTGATCGGCCTCGACGTCCTCCACGTGGACGAGCGCACCATGTGCTGCGGGACGCCCCCAGGTATGTACCCCACCTCCCGGTCCATGAAGGCCCCCGGAATTGGACCCAAAGGGACGAACCCCCCGCCAATCTCTCTCTCATCGCCGCCGTCATTGTCTCTGTAGACTGCGAGTGGAAGACGCAGGCGGGGAACATCTGCGTGGCCAGCTTTGATTGGTCCTGCAGTGGGGTCTGCAAAGCCGTTGACCGTATGAAGGAGGTCCACCGCACGTGCGGCGAGGGCGAGGCGGCCGTCTGGAACGTGTCTACCTAAATAGACACGAGAGAGAAAGAGAGAGAGAGGATGATAGTCACAGAAGTTGAAGCTAAGGCCTGGTGATCGAAGGAGAGTGAGAAAGGGAAACGGGTGTGTATGAGGCTTAGGGAGCTTACAGCTATCATTTGCTCCTTCAGCTACTGTTCTTAGGAGGAAGAAGGAGAAGTTTAACACAGCGATCAGCCGATTTGGATTGGGATCGGTGGGTTCCTATATGATTTTTCAAGGAACTCCAATCCCCACCCAAAATGCTCGCTATAATTGCATCCCATTCGCCGCCGGTATTTTCGACCGTCGTTGCCACCGGATCTACCGAACACCGCCGGGGCGGATGGCGAGGTGAAGAACCAAGAGAGGGTTTTCTTATGAACACATTTTCTTATAAATCTAGCTGTCCGCAATATTCAACAGTAGGTGGTTTATTCATATCTGGATGACTTTGAAGTCTTCTAAAACCCAATTAGTCTCCGATTGATGACTTGCGGAGTTGCATACGTGCCAATTTAATTTATTTTATCCTTGACTGTGACTGGATCCTACTTGGTGCCTTCAGTCACACGAGTAAGTTAAGAGCCCAGCTCGGCCTGGATGGCCACTCACATTTCCTCGGCCGTTCCAATGAACAGATTCAATGCGTATTTTCTTATGCCGTGGTTGTCGAAGTATCAACTTTGTGATAGCCCTCTCACTCTCTCTCGCGCGCGCGTTAGCGTCACAGTGATGCCCTGGCCGGCCCTATCCCTCGCAGACTGAGTCGTGACGTCGTTACCCTAGGTGACCTCGGTGGAGCAAACACATGAAGAAGAACGAAGCGTACCCAGATTGCCCAATTCGCTACCCAGACATCTCGAGAGATGATGAATGCGTCACCAGTGAAATTTCTAACTTCCAATATGCCTTCGCCCAACTCACAGAGATGGATAGAGAGAGAGAGAGAGCGAGAGCGAGAGCGAGAGAGAGACTGAGAGAAGAGGAGGCAAAATTGGACTTCATCGATGGAAGACTTTTGATAATTTTGACACCGATAAACCAGCTAAAATCCGTCTCCGTCTTCACCAACACTGGCGATGACAATAAAACAGATGAAAATGGCGACTTCGTCATCGAAAGACTTGATAACAATGCAGCCGGGGTGTTTCCGCATGCAGCCACTGCTTCTATCTCAATGGGGAATACTTTCAAACCTGCAGCCACCGTGATGGAACATGGCCGCGAACAGGAAGAAGTCATAGGCATGGACCATGAGCCCCGTCGGACAGCCACAAGGCCCCGATTCTCAGGAAAATCATAGAATATCTTATTTTACTTCTTTCAGTGGTCCTTCTTTGGACCAGGCAGGCGCCGGCAACCCGTTCGCCACCGTCCCTCAACTCCTATAAATTGGGGCGCTGCCCGCTGGTTCTCAGCATCAAACACCAAAGCCCGACAGAGAGCAGGCGGTGGAAGGGGTGGGCTGAGAAGGTTAGGTTTATAAGATTCGGCGACCCCTCCAAGGGATCGAGTAGCGATGACGGTCATGGCGGCAGTCCTGTGTCTTCTCTTAGCCTTGAGCGGTATGGTGGTGATCTCCGCTGAAAAGTACCCAACTCCTTCTCCACCGCCTTACCATTACAAGTCTCCACCACCACATCCACCCAAGGAGCACTACCCTCCTCCTCCGAAGAAGCACTACTACTACAAGTCCCCGCCACCGCCCTCTCCTCCCAAGCACTACTACTACAAGTCCCCCCCTCCTCCCAAGGTGCACTACTACTACAAATCACCGCCGCCACCACACAAATACTGATAACGTCTCTTCTGGGGCCATTTATGGGCAACGGTAGTGAAATAAGAGCCAGAGTCATCCCTACTACATGGCGCAGGGTACTCTGGATTGGATCCAGAACCAGACAGCTGCTGTGCATGAAGGAACACGAGTGGGAAGCCTTCACGTTACCAGAAATGTTTTACTTTATCACTAGTTAATAAGTATATGTAGAATAACGTGTTACCGGATTCAGTCTGGCCTCGTTAGCATTGTTTCGCCAGATGGACTGGTTTCCTTTATTCCAGATGAGCTCGTTTGTAAGACTTATTAAATAAACTGTATTTTCCGCGCCTCTCTGTCTCTCGCTCTCTCGTTCTATAAATCTATCTCTATCTATCTCTCTCGTCCTATAAATCTATATCTCTCTCTCTCGTTCTGTAAATCTCTCTATCTCCCTCTCTCTCTTCCCTGTCGGTAGCAAGAGCTGGGGAGAACCCTCTCTCTCTCTGCCCTGCCGGTAGCATGAGCTGGGGAGAACCCTCACTCTCGTAAGCCCGTTCATCGTCGTTCCTCCGACTTGGCCTCATGTATCAGATGACGTCATCTCTCTCTCTCTCTCTCTCTCTCTCTCTCTCTCTCTCTCTCTCTCTCTCTCTCTCCCCTCTCTTAATCTTCAATCAGCAGCGCTTTTTGATGAGGTGAAACCCTGAAAGCTTCAAATAACCCCTTCAGATCAAGTGAACCACATTGACTATCTGAGCTGGAATCCACCCCCTCAACTTCTTCTTGATCCTGCCGGTGCAGTCCGATGCTTCGCCGTTGGTCTGATACTCGTTCATGGCGGCGCCACTGCAGATGGAGAAGAAGGCATGGCTAGTTTCGTCCTCAACCAGCTGCACAGAGGCAGGATGTGGGCGGCGCTGGTCAAGGGGCGCTGCTCGGCTGAGAAAATCTCCACTGTCTTTGGGAGAAACGACGGGCGGAGGGACGTGATGGGGAGGTCAAGAGCACCCGTGAAGCCATGAAGCGAGCTATCCTCCTCCCTCCATCCTCATTCCCTCTGAATATCCTCCTCCCTCCATCCTCCCTGAAGATGGAGCTGGCCACAGCGAGGACTCGCGGCGGTGATGGTGGGTCGGTGGTGGGAGGGATAGTAGTATCAACTCTGCTTTTATCAGTAAGATGTATTGGGACTCAGTTGGAGTTGCGAAGGTTGACCTCCTATCAACCCTATTAAGCCATAAGTTTAATTGTCCTTTTTGAATGAAAAGACTCATTCTTGAGGTGCCTTTCAGGTTTCTTAAGATCCATTGTACTGCAGCCTAGTGATCCTTAGATTCGTCATAAACTTGCTTACAACTCTCACTACATCTGCTACGACAGGTTTGGTGCAAATCATATTGTACATTAAGCTTCCGTGAATATCTGAATAGGCCGAACTGGCCCCCGAAAGGTTCTCAAAAAAACTTACACAAATTTTCTTAAATAGCGGGGCTCGCTAGAACAGCCGATTTTATAAAAGGAGAAACGGGCTCGGGAAGAACATAGAATAGTAGAGGATCCATGGAGTGACAGAAGTATTGAGAATCCAAGATCAGGTCACGGCAAGACGAGCCGTGGTCAATTTGATTAACTTTAGTATTAGTAGAATAGTCTATTTTTTTTATAGTATACTCGGACTCGGCGGATGAAGAATCGTGAACATAAGAATTTCTGGTTTCCCATGTTCCCAGAAAAAAGAACTGGCTTGGTTCCAAGATGTAGAATCCATGTTGAATCACCACTGCAAAACGCAGCCAGCTTCGAAAAGTACACGATTTATTTAACATTGGGCTTGACTTAGTTGTTTTGGTGCGCTCCCTTAAAACCCAAGGAGCGGTGGAAGACTATTCATTGCATTGAAACAGTAGAAGCATAATGGTTTTGTATCATCTAGAAGTATTATGCTACTTGTCGGAGAATCTGTCGAGTTGAGGGGTCGACTACACTGTCACCATTAACTAAGGGAATAAGAGATGAGTTGACCATTTGTCAGAGGCCTTGAGTGCTGTCGGAAGAGGAAGAAATGAGCTCGCCAATTGTCAGAAAACTTTGGTTGCAAAGAAGAAGAAGAACGAATGTTGTAATCACAACTATTGTTGGGATTTTAATGATAATTAATAATATCTGTTTTACAAAATAATAATTAATAATTATGTTTATATCCTTGACATTGATACATGTTAGAACCTAAGTTTTTGATATAAGCCACAACATTTGGCTGCCTTGAAACAAACAAAAACATTGAGTCCCACATTAGGTTTTCTCAGATAAGTATCATGTATATATTATAATGCATCATTTATTCATCAACAAGTCCTCAATCTAGGCGCAAGCCATGGGCCATAGGGATGTTTGTCTAGCGGCCCATTATAATAATAAAATAAAATAATATATATATTAAAAATAAAAATAATACATTTTATTTTTTAGAAAAGGGAAATTCCCTAACTCTTCTAGCTTCTATATTTCTAAATTAATCATATAAAACTATGTTTCCTTCTAAAAATTAAAATAATAAACTACTTAAATAAAATAAATTAATAACTAAAAATCAAGCTTTAATAGCAGACATTAAACCTATTGTGATCTTCTCATTTAATATGTTGAATGTGACATTTCTAACCAAAGTCAGTTTGATAACTCCTAGAGCTTGCCGATCTAGCAAATCCCAATCAACTTGAGACATTCCCTCTAGATTCACACTAGACAAAGGTTAATGGAGCTTCTTCTGGTATAAGTAATCTTCCACTTGCATCCTCCAGAATCCAATGTCCTTTTTGCCGAATTTTTCAATTCGGATTTTTCTGTCTTCAGCAGCCATGACTCCCCCTCTTTCTTTAGAATAATGACTCTTCTAAAGTAAAGAAGGCTCAAGCCAAATACCTCAAACCTAAGGCTTTGATACCAGTTCTTGATATAAGAAGAGAACACAAGACCCCAATAGCTTGCTCTCCTTTGCACCAACAATGAAAGATGCAAGTAAGAATGTGGACAATCAAGAATGATTGGGAATGAAAGACTGTGTTTTGAATGAAATAGTTTTGACAATTCAGGGACTTTAGCACAGGCACATAAAACCCCTTTTTCTCTCTATATTGTCATATTAACCCCACACAAGGGATCATTATTTATAGACCTTAGAGGTGGTCCCACAACAAAAATGACCGATATGGGACTAGCCTCCTCCCTTTCTACTTTTTCTCTTTCCATAAGACAACATAGTGCACCGTAGAAGAGAGCCTCGTCTGACTAGATGAATGGCTTTAGAGGGGTGAAGTACCATCTCCAAGGACCTCACTGCCTGCATCTTCATCAACTCATGCACCCACCACACTTCCCGCTTCTCTCTCTCTCTGACTCCCTGCTGCCAACATTAATCTATATTCCTCTTCCTCTTCCTTACATCTACCGTATATGTACCTTACATCTACCTTCTTCGTCTCTCTTTCCTCTTCCTTTTTATTCCTCCCTAGTCCTCTTCCTCCGTCGATTTTCAACTCTCTCTCTCTATAAATGGTGCACTTATCTGACTTCCACGTAGGCCCATACTACATAAGTACACGAACAAGGATGCGTCCCTCAGATCCTGGCTGATCGACCTCGTCGTCCATGTGGATGATGCATTCCCCTAGGTAGATACCCCGCATCCCCATCCTCACCTGAATCTGATTTCCCTCAGAATCGTTTGACCTCCAAGAATCGAATTATGACACTCCCTCGACCTTCTGACCAGTTTGAGGCCAAGAGGCCATGTGAGACGGATGCGTTTGGAGGCTGGCGGGCATCTTGCATGTGCAGCAGGCGCATGGGCCACACATGAACGTGCAGATAAATGAGGGAAACCCAGACATAGTGAGTTTCATGGATCTGAAATGGCTCTTTTGGATATGCTAGAAGTCTGGGACATGTGGAGGAAGGTGTCTATACGAGGAAGGAGACGAAATGAGGCAGGTCAAAATGGAGAAGATTCTCCAGACCTCTCCCTCTATATAAGGGGGAGAACTCCGCCCACTAGAAGATAAAATGGTAGGAGTGAGGAAGGAGTATAAGTGTGTTGTAGAGAGAGAGAGAGAGAGAGAGAGAGAGAGAGAGTGTAGGTCTTGTATACAGGAGAGGGGAAGCTCCAGAGTGACTGTGGGGAGTGCTCAAAGTGAGCTGAGGTGGCTGCATTGCATTGGCAGTAAATGAGGAGTTGGCTGAGGGCTGAGTGAGAGCTAGAAGTCAGGAAGAGAGAACATCTATCATGTTGAGCTCTTCTCCTCCCCCTTTGTACGTCCTTCTTGAGATAATAAGAGTACCTTAGTGTTCCATTATCATTGTAGAGTATTAGAGTTTTCCACAAGTGATAGTGGAGGCTGCTCAACATTGACGGAGCAATGGTCAAGGTTGGCCTAGGGCGATAAAATAGAGAAACGGATTATCTACTCGTGACAAAATGGTACCAGAGCATGTTACTCTAGGAGCGAGTGGCACCAATGGGTAGAGGATCACTTGACTGGAGGAGCAGATCTCCTATAGGTTTCCTTCCATTGAGGCCTTAGAAGCACACATGGGAGCTGTGGAGGAATGACAAGATGCAATAGAGCTAACAATGACGGAGGCTGCAGGCCCTTCAACAGCATCGTGGGCCAACATCATTGATGCGGTGGAATTCTAGGCTTTTGTGGAAGCTTTGGCAGAAAATGTAGGCCTACTAAAGTGCGCTCTTCTGAGGACACAGGAAAGTGGCACAGCATGTCTGGCCAAGGTCCCCGAGCCTAAAGTCTTTGTAGGTGCCAGGAACACCAAGGAGCTGGAGAACTTCCTTTGGGACCTAGACCATTATTTCCAAGTGATACACGTGCCAAACACGGAAAAGGTCACATTGGCAAGTATGTACCTTGCCAATGGCACAAAGTTGTGGAAGTGCACACGGACAGAGAATCTACCCAGACTTGCCATTGAATCGTGGAAAAAATTCATCTAGGAGCTGAATGAGTAATTCCTCTTGATGAATAGTGCATGGATGGCTCGAGAGACACTTAGAGGGCTCCATCATATCGTACATGTGTGGGAATATGTGAAGCAGTTCACTTTACTATTTTTTGACATCAATAACATATTAGATGAAGATAAACTCTTCAACTTCATGTTCAGAGTGCAGAACTTAGCATAAGTGGAGCTATGCCACCAAGGAGCAAGAGACATCAAGTTAGCTATGGCGATGGTTGACACATTGGTGGATTACAAGGCCACCAAAAATCCAAACACTGGCAACAACAATGGTACAAACTGTAGCCATGATTGCAGTGGTGAGTAAGGCTGCCATGACAATAACCAATGGCAGTGGCTATGAAGGGGTAAAAAAGTACCCAAAGTAGACACCTCATAGAACAGCTCATTGAAGAAGGCTGTTACGTCTACACAAGACTGCATCGAGCTAGGGACTGTCCATCTCAAGTAGATGGTGCATTCCCCCGAGTAGATACCCAGCCTCCCCATCCTCACACAACTCAGATTTCCCTTGGAATCATTTGGCCCCTAGAATCAGGCCAAAAGGGATGAAAATCAGCCCAAGATGGTGGTGTTGCTCCCTAGATAGCTAGATAATTCTAGAGTGGGGCGGGTGAATTTATTTAATATATATATATATATAACAAGCCAACAAAGGATAAAACAGATCAAATTTTAGTGTGGTTTGGTCAACTCTTTTAACCTACATCTACTTTCAAGGACTCTAGTTTGATTTCAGTACTACACCTCATAATACAACCTTGATTTTAAGAGAATCAAGAACCCTTTACATTTCCAGACTCCGCGAGCCTATGACCAATCAACCTAGAACTCTTAACCCTAGAGTTCCTAGGTCCCTAGGTCTCCTTGTTGAAAGCACAACACATGTGCCTCAAAAGACTATTTGAGTAGGGGCCAAATGATTCCAAGGGAAATCTGAGTTGTGTGAGGATGGGGAGGCTGGGTATCTACTTGGGGGAATGCACCATCTACTTGAGATGGACAGTCCCTAGCTCAATACAGTCTTGTGTAGACATAACAGCCTTCTTCAACGAGCTGTTCTATGAGGTGTCTACTTTGGGTCAAAAAGGACCCAAAGTAGATTGGTTTTGTGGTGAGTAGATTGGTTGAGACACTTGTGGTGTGTCGTTAACATAGTCTCAACCAATCTACTCACCACACAACAAATCAAAACACAAAAGGTAATGAGGAACAAGTTTACTACAGCTTTCAATTATTGATTTTTATTCAACAGGAAAATTTGAAGGTGTTGAAGAATATTTGAGGATGTTGGGTTTAGGGGGAAAGTTTTTGAGTTGTTAGAGAGGCGTTCAAAGCTCCATTGAATCAAAGCATCTCATCCTTGAACTTTAGAGAGCTGAACATGGGTGAACAAGAGGAAGAGCTGTATTTGGGGTAGTAGTCATCACCAAAAATCATATATTCTCTCCTTTCTATAGTCTAGACGAAACATCTAATTTATAAGTAGGGTGGGCCACCTCCTTTTACCCCTTATCGGGTCAAATGGTTGACTTAAAATAGGCCTTAATAGGCCATTCACAAATACCAAAAATATGATCGTAAATAATGAAAAATTCATAACTTGTTCAATATTTGTAATTTTTTGAAATAGTTTATAACCTTAAATTCCTCTTTGAGTCAGATTTCTATTGATACTTTTCCGTTCTACATCTGTCATACAATTTCTAAGATAAAAGTTATCTTAATACCAGAGGTCATACTTTTAGACCATTTTGTCCCTGTCTGAATATATAAAATCAGTAATCTTGTAAAATCAATATCAAATCAACACCTGGTAATTCTCTCCAAAATATATTTTCCTTGAATCCTTGTTCAAACATCTTTATGTTGGTGACCATATGCATATATTAGTTAAGTCATTTTATACAGAAATTTAAACCTTAAGACTTATATGTAAAATGTTTACATCTTTACCTCACACATACTTTTATTATCAATATATCTAAATAGTCCAATAGCCATACCTATGACAGAATTTAGTCATAAAATCTAGACTCAAATCATTATTCAAATAATTTAAACAACAATATATTTGCAACATCAAACTTTTATTCAACTCACATCAAATACCATCAATTTCAAGTTAATCAAATTAGTATCTAAAAAATCATCAAAATTATATTTTCTTTTCTTTAGTTAATCCATAGCACAATGGCTGGCACCCGTGATCTCCTCTCTCTCGTTGCTGCCGTTCTCTTTTCTGTAGACTGTGAGTGGAAGACCCAAGCGAGGAACATCTGTTTGGTGACCTTTGATTGGTCCTGCAGTTGGGTCTGTAAAGCCGCTGACCGGATGGATGTGGTCCACTGCACGTGCGGTGAGGGTGAGGTGGCCATCTGGAATGTGGCTCTCTAACCAGAGATGATTAGAGAGAGAGAGAGAGGATGATACTCGCAAAGGTTGAAGCTACGGTTTGGTGGTCCATGGAGAGTTGGAGAGGGAGACGGGTATGCAAAGCTTAGGGGGCTTTCATAGCTATCATTTTCCCCTTGAATCACTGTTCGAAGAGGAAGAAGAGAATCAGGAACGGAGAACTCTCCCCCTTTTTCTGCCCGACTCTTTGGTTTTAAGAATGCTGGTTTTAAGAATGAGTGATTGCCCTTCTCCGACCCTTACTGCCCAACTTCAACACAGGTAGATCAGTCACACACGAGTAGTATGCAGAATCAGTCGATCAGGATTTGAATCGGCAGTCCCCTATCTGATTTCGCAGGGAACTCCAATCCCCACTCAAAATGCTCTCTAGAATTGTATCCCCTTCGCCACCGGTATTTCTGACCACTATCGCCACATAACTGCTGAACACCGCCAGGGCAGATGGCGAGATGATGAAGAACCAAATTTTTAATCAGTAGAGCTGCAGTGACCAAGCGGTGGGAAACAGCTGGAGGGTTTTTAAAAATAGTATTTTCCAGTGTACTATTTTTTATGAACACATTCTTATCTACCAAGCTAATTAAACTTACTAAATATATAATCCAGTTGTAGACAACGTACAACAATATATGGGTTATTCACAACTGGATGGCTTTGACGTCTCTGAAACAAAATTAGTCTCTGAATGATGATTTAAGCTAGTTATCCTCGGGAAGTCTAGAGCCCAGCTCGGTCTGGATGGCCACTTTACATTTCCTCGGGCTAGTCCGACGAACAGATTCAATGCGTATTTTCTTATGTCGTCGTTGTACAAGTATCAACTGTGTCCAGATTCAATGGAGAGAGAGAGACACAGACAGACAGAGACAGAGTCAGAGACACAGAGAGCCACAGAGAGAGAGAGAGAGAGAAAGAGCGAGCGAGATAGCGAGAGAGAGATAGAGAGAGGGAAGAGGAGGCATAATTGAACTTCATTGACGGAAGACTTAAGATGAACTTGACACCAATGAATAAGCTAAAATCCGTCTCTGTCTTAATTAACACTGCCGACGAGAGTAGGTGGGAAAGGAAAAATGGCAACCTCGTCGTCGGAAGACTTCATGACAATGCGGTACCGACGAAGGTGTTGATTTTCTTTCACGAGTTTAATAACTCCGTGGATGCGATAGCGAGAGAGAAAGTTTTCGCATCTAGCTACCGCTAGGGAAAATTTTCAAACCTGCAGCTACCTTGATAGAACATGGCCGCGAACAGGAAGAAGTCATAGGCGTGGACCATGAGCCCCTTTGGACCGCGACAAGGCTCCTCAGACCGATTCACACGAAAATGAAAGAATATCATATTTTGCTTCTTTCAGTGGTCCTTTGCATCAAGCCGGCGCCCGTAACCCGTTCGCCACCGTTCCTCAACTCCTATAAATTGGGGCACTGCCCGCTGATTCTCAGCATCAAACACCGAAGCTCGGCGGAGAACAGGTGGAAGGGTTGGGCGGAGAAGGTTAGGTTTATAAGATTCCGCGACCACTCCGAGGGTCAAGTAGCGATGACGCCCATGGCGGCAGTCCTTGGCCTTCTCTTGGCCTTGAGCGGTATGGTGGTGATCTCTGCCGAGAAGTACCCGTCCCCTTCTCCACCCCCTTACCATTACAAGTCTCCACCACCACATCCACCCAAGGAGCACTACCCTCCTCCGAAGAAGCACTACTACTACAAGTCCCCCCCACCGCCCCCTCCTCCCAAGAAGCACTACTACTACAAGTCCCCCCCACCACCCTCTCCTCCCAAGAAGCACTACTACTACAAGTCTCCCCCGCCACCTTCTCCTCCGAAGAAGCACTACTACTATAAGTCTCCCCCGCCACCCCCTCCCAAGGTTCACTACCACTACAAATCCCCGCCGCCACCCCCCCCGAAGGTGCATTACTACTACAAATCACCGCCGCCACCACATAAGTACTGATAACGTCTCTACTCCATGGCCAACGGTAGTGAAATAAAAGCCAAAGTCATCCCTACTCCATGGCGCAGGGTACTCTGGATTGGATCCAGAACCAGGCAGCTGTTGGGCATGGAGGAACACGAGTTGGAAGCCTTGACGTTACCAGAAATGCTCTGCTAGTTCACAAGTTTCTGTAGAATAACGTCTTACTGGACTCAGTCTGGCCTCGTTAGCATTGTTTCACCAGATGGGCCGGTTTCCTTTGTTCCAAAAGTTCTCGTTTGTAAGACTCATTAAATAAACTGTATTTGCCGCACCTCTCTGTCTCTCGCTCTCTTTCTATAAATCTATCTTTATCTCCCCCTCTCTCTGCCTTGTCGGAAGCAAGAGCTGGAGACAACCCTTTTCTCTCTCGTAAGCCCGTGCATCGTCGTCTCTCCGATTTGGCCTCATGTTTCAGATGACGTCCTCTCTCTCTCTGTCTCTCTCTGTCTCTGTTAATCTTCAATCAGCAGGGCTTTTTGATGAGGTGAAACCATGAAAGCTTCAAATAACTCTTTCAGAGGAAGTGAACCACGTTGATTATCTGAGCCGGAGCCCCCTCCTCGACTTCTTGATCCCGCCGTGGCAGACCGATGATTCACCGCTGGTCTGATACTCATCCATGGCGGTGTCACTGCAGATGGAGAAGAAGACACGGACAAGGGCCCTGCTAGGGAAGGCAGTGGGCAACTTCTGCACGGTTTGCTTCGTCCTCGGCCTGCTGCTCAGCGGAAGGATGTGGACGACGCTGCTCAAAGGGTGTCGCTCGGGCCAGAAGACCTCCACTGTCTCAGAGAGAACGGCGAGCCGAGGGACGTGATGGGGGAGGTCAAGAGCAGTCTTGAAGCCCTCAAGTGAACTATCCTCCTCCCTCCATCCACACTCTCTCTGAATTATTCAAGGACAGTAGTACCTCGCTGTGCATTAGTTCTGTGGAGAAGACGATATCCTCCCCGGAGATGGAGGTGGCCACGGCGAGCACGCGCTGTGGCGATGGGGGGCAGCAGTGGGAGGGAACTCCAGATGGCATTCCTGGTTGTAGGTATCAATTCTGCTTTTAACAGTAAGAAGAAGTGGGACTTGTGTTGGAGTCGTGGAGGTTGATCTCTTTTTGGGCTCTATGGGCGCTAAGGGTCTCTATGTGTGATCTATTATTGTCATTCTCTTCCACTCCTTCTCTCGTGTTCCATTTTGTATTAGATTTTCACTGTGCAAGAAAGGAGAAACGAGGATATTATAACAAGTTTGTGTGATCTATTACTGTATTAGATTAGAGCCTTTGGTTTGAGGTTATCCCAAGCATTATAATGCATGTTCTTAGTAAACTTGGTTTCGAAGAAAGAGTGGGAACAATGATTGTTGGTAAAGATAATGTCAAGATTACATGTTCAATGAAAGAGACTTTGGATTTTGAAAGATTTATACAGAGGATTATCTATTTCAGAAGAAGTTATATCCATTACTTCATGGTTTGAAGCCAGATAATGCCTCAAAATGATTGAGAGCTAATGGACAGATAATTTCTCTAAGCAATTTTTTTCGCCTTAATTAGAAATATTATGTTCAACATTTTGAATGAGAAGATTAAAACAAGATATGACGGCTCTCTCAAATATGTCTAATAAGTCATTGACATCAAATAAGGTTTATTTAATGCAGCACATCTTCATTTTGTAAATGATAGAAGGTACATCTCTTGCAAATCACATCAACTATTTCAATTCGAAAATCAACAAGCTAATTATGAAATGATGAAATGAGATTTTGGCGAAGATGCGGGACGACGGCACTGGGGCAGATGACGAGGAGACGGGACGACGGCAACAAGGTGGCTGGCGAGAAGAGGGATGGTGGCGACGAAGCGGACGGCAAGGAGGCGGGACAACGACGACGAGGTGATGGGAGATGAAGGGAATAGCGGCGATGGGGTGGCGAGGACGACGTGAAGAGGAAGGGAAGGAGGTCCCCCTAATCCAAGAGGGCGAGAAGAAGAGGGGAAGCCCCTAATCCAAGAGGCGATGACAATAGATGAGGAACCCAATGGGGGGGGATGGGGAAGAAGAAGACCCTCTAATCCAAGAAGATAAGCAAACCTTGATTAATTCTCTCCAATCACTGTCTTGAACACAAGAGAGTCTGTGCATTTATAGAGGGGAAAAGAAGAGCGGTGGTTTTCCACAGAATGGAGAGAGAACAAGAGAGAAGGGGTGATGGGGATACCCTTTCCCAAGAGGTGCCATGTGGCGCCCCTTGGTTGAAAACGACCCCCCCCCTTTAAGGAGAGGACGGACGTGAGGATGACATGGCATCCTCTCCCCATTCTTCTTCTTCTTCCTCTTGTTAGGCCATCCTTTGTGGATGGATCCTCTTGCTTGCTGGTAGAGACCCATTGGTCTTGGATCCAATATTCTATGTTGGATCCAATAGAGGAGGAAGGTGCTGATTGACTTTGAAATGAACTCGTCGAGGTGGAAGAACCCTGATTCTGGTAGTTCTTCTTGGAAGGGTTGACCTCAAAGGTTGAACCCCTGATTGACTATCCTCCACTGATTTGAGTTGATTTTCATGAGTGGAAGATTCTTCATTAGACCCTGTGATCTCATCAAATTGATTTCAATTATGAAATGAGAGCACTAATTCTATTATCTTCTTTGCTCAAAAATTACAGAGCCACGATGACTACTGGGAGCACTTCTTTAGGTTAAATAAAATTGAAATTGAATTATGTGACTTGATTTTAAGAGAGGATATTCCTAGGAGAGAATCAAGAGAAGTATCCATTTCTGCCCTAATTTTTGAAGATAAGGGAAGAACACAACAAAGATGTTGACAACGTGATCAACTAGATTACTATAAATTATGGCAAGGTATAAATATTCAACAATTCAGACATTATTGTCAAAAGCATAATTCCATTTATAACTTTCAATAGAATGATTTAGAAGATGCTAAATGTGAGACATGTTTTAAGATTGAAGAAGAATTTGATCTCAGTATAGTTGGATAGTGAAGGTTATATAACAATCTTTAGGAATGGCTCATGAAAAATCACAAAAGGAGTCATGGTAATGGCAAAATAAATGAAGAATGACAAAATATAGAAGACGACCATTGATAACATGCATACATTCATGCTTTGATGTACCTAAACTGTAGGATTTCACACATATACTTGATAGAAATCATGCATGTTATCACTTAAATCATTCATTGTGTAATCCATACAGAATTGCTTAAGTCACAAGTTTACATGTTTTTTAGCATATCTATAAATTAATGTTGTTTGACTTTGTGAAGTTCAACAACTTAATTCTATTGATTATTCTCTAAGCTTGTATGTGCAGAGTATTAGGCCTCTATTGGAAAGAAAAGAGATGAAATCCTAAAGTATAAGTAAAGAAGAATTGGGCCAAAGACAAACCTAAGGACTTGGAGGCATGCCTATAAGTCAATAGGCCTACAAGGGCCAGACCAACGAAGCACCAGCTGAAGCTTGGAGCTCAATGTGGATAACCGTGAGCCCAACCAAGGTCCAACTGGTGCCAAGGCTGTGGATGCATATTTTCATGAAGTCTAAATGAACTCCATCTAGAGTTAAGGCTCAAGAAGACAATTGGGGTCCAGCTAAAACCAAGGCCCAAAAATGCAGCCCAAAGCCCAACTACGAGGAGCTCAGCTGCAGCCCAAGGCCCAATTGTGCTGGCTGAGGGGATAAGCTTCAAATTTGCTGACCAATAGAAGAAGAGGAGTAGGGTGGTGCTGGCACCCACTCCTGAAATATGCAGACCCTAAATGCCTTTGTAAATTGTTTTAATAGTAGACACAAAGGGAGGTCATTTGTGGAATTGCAAGAGGGTAAAATAGGGGGTATTTAATGTCTCGTGCCCCCACCTGTGGAGGCACTCTTCAATGGTACCAGACTAGAGCTGGCCGCAAGACAAGACCCAAGAGTCCCTCTTCTATTATGCAGGTATGAACGAATTTATTTTTTCCATTTCTTGTGTGATGGAAGAGGTTAGCAAGGAGGAAGGGAAAAAAGTGGCCTAGAAGAGAAGATGCACCTACCTATAGATGATTAGAGCCCTGGGTTGGCGAGATAGACCCTAGGGTAGGTGCGTGATTCTCTTGTGCATTCACTATCTCATTACTCTGAAATTAGGAGGGAGCAAGAGAGAGAGCACCTACTGGCTGTTGATTAGAGCCTTGGGTTGGCAACATAAACCCTAAGGTAAGTGTTATTCTCTAGAGCTTTCACACCCCCTATCTCAGTCCCTACATAGATAAGTTAGCATTTAATGTTCTATGTAGTTTAAAAGTCACATTTGCACAACTTAATCTGTTACATTCTTCCAAGTGTTTTACCTCTGAGGCGTAAGATACTTCAACTCCTTCCATTCATCTCTCTCTCCCCTAAATCCTCTATAATTTAAATTTTCACCTCAACCTAATCTCATTCCCTATGGATACGACCCTAGGTCACTACATTCTACGTAATCAATCAAGAGTTAGACTTATAAATATTTTTGATTAAGCTTTAATTAGGATTCACGACACCCTAAATTTAGACTTATCAACCATTAACCAAGATACTATAGTAGTAATTGATTTTACAATGAATAACAAGATTTGAAATTTTAAAGTGGGACATATGAAAAATAAAGAAATTAAATTATTAATTTCAAAAGGGAAGCTACCTCACTTGAAATTTGTGAAACTTGGTCTTTCTAAAGCATAGAAAGAGGTTTTCCTTCTCAAAATTTGGAAAAGCTTATAAGACTAAAATGTTGAAGTTAATTCACACTGATGTATATGAACTTTCTTCTATTCCCTCACTTAGAGGTTTGAGATATTACCTCACCTTCATTGATGACTAAACTCGGAAGACATGGACTAAGTGTTTTGAAAACTAAATCTCATACTTTTATAAATTTTAAAAATAAAAAAGTCAAATTGAGCTTAATTTTGGTCTCAAAGTTAAATGTTTGTGATATGACAATAGTGATGAATATGGTAGTTAAGATTTTATTTATTTATTTAGAGCATGAGATTCAAATGAATAAGACAATTCTGAACATGAGACAACAAAATAATATTCTTCACAAGATGAAAATGATTTTGAATGAACAAGTCAAGAGCATGACATGTTAGCCCGCCGATGCTCCTATATCATCAGCTCTTAGAGGAGTTCTGAACTAGAAAGAAGGTAAATCTCTTTTACTCAAAAATCATTAGATGCATTTGTTATGTGCTTATGGATTTTGAAAATAGAGACAAAATTAAAGAAATAATATTTCATTAGATATTGAACTAATGGGTTTCGTTATATTCAATTAAATAGTCTTATATAGAGACAAAGTATCTTCAGAATCTGATCATGAGGATTTCACGAAGCGTAATTTCAAAAGAAGACTTACACATGAAGGTTGAGGCTAAACTTGAACATGAGAATGAAATTAAAAATGTAGGATGTAAAGACATTTCTCCTACATTTAAACGAAGAAGGTTCAACAAATTATGAAGACCACTTGTAATTTACCCTTCCATTCTACACTATCTATCAATAACTAATGATGGTGAATCTCTATCATATACTTAAATTATGAACAATGAAGATTCATTGAAGTTTGAGTTAAAAATGTAAGATGAGGTAAATTCCTTGTAGAAAATTAGACATGGAAGCTAACTTTATTTTTAATTAGTAAGAAATACTTTTGAAAAAGTGTGTGAAAATTAATCACTACTTTTTCACATAGAGAATAAGAAAGAATTTCAAAAAGAGAGTTTTCATGTGAATTTATATAATTTTTATAATCCTATTTT